TAGTTTGAGTTCTTTGAGGATTTCCCATACTTCTTTCCAAGAAGGTTGTATTAGTTTGCAGTCCCACCAGCAGTGTAAAAAACTGTTCCTCTCTCTCCACATCCACGCAAGCATATGCAGCTTTGAGACTTTGTGATGTAGGCCATTCTCAGTGGAGTTAGGTGATATCTAAGAGCAGTTTTGATTTGCATTTCTTTAATAATTATGGATGATGAGCATTTTCTCATATGTTTGTTAGCCATTTGTCTGTCTTCTTTAGAAAGGGTTCCATTCATCTTTCTTGGCCATTGATGTAAGGGATTGTTGGCTCTTTGTATGTTGCTTAGTTTGAGTTCTCTGTAGATCCTATTAATTTTTTAAAAACTTGATAAATAAAGAAATTAAGTACTATACCTTGGACTTCAGTTAGTAAGTGTTATAATTTGGATGTATCCATTACCTAATGCTCAGGAGCCTGGAAAAATGGTAAAAAAAAATACATATTTTAGGAGGTTATTAAAGGTATTATAGTATCACATTAATATATTTGATCCAAATAGCCATTTCTAGTGACAAAAGGTGGTTTGTGACTTTAATGACAGCATGTTCATTGCAATCCAGAAGACAGAAGCAATATTTTAGTGGAATAAAATGTCAGTGGAAAGTTAATAATGTTAACAACAAGCCATTGAAAGTTCTTTTAGGTAATTTGGATTTGAAAGGGAGAGAGAGGGAAGGCGAGAGAAAGACAAGGATCAAGAGAAAAGGAAAAAGGGAAAGGGAGATATAGGGAAGGAGGAAGAAGAGGAGGGAGAGATACCGTGATCCTGTGACTGAATGGGTGATGTGGGGTCCACAGAAGAATTTTTGAAAATATTCAATAACTTAAAACTTGAGCAAATGTAAAAGTTAATGTGAAGGAGCCAGCTCACCACAGATGTAATCCTTGAAGTTGTCTCTCCGTCAATTTTCCTTCTTACCTTCTTTTTTACACTTCTGATTTAATGGTACACCTACAGGGAAAAGTATACTTAGTTACTGGTGAATGTAAAAAGGAAAAATTGTGTGTCAAAGGAAGGCTAGCAGCTCTTGGATTTTTTTCTCTCAGAGAGGCATCTGGTGACAGAAATAGTAGTATGGCATAGCTGGATAATGCATAATCTGAGTACTCCTGCACTGATGACTACTGGAAAGGTTCACAATTTTCCTCTAAATATATTAACATATGGGCAGTCCAGGCTCAGCGATTAAGCAAACATCACTTCTTGCTTCCCTGGTGTGATCCGTCCCTAAGTTCACCAGGTGAGTTCATAGACAAACTTTATCTTCCCCGCATGGGAAACTAGATTGGAATCTGATCAAAGTCCTGATGTTGAACACCTCTTAGGAGATTCTGAAACGCCCAGGGATGTAGAAAATATGCGGTATCTAAAACTCAAGGTATATCACAGGGATATTTGCTCTTTTCCTCTAGATGACTGTGTTCTCATTAGGAGAAACAATTAAAAATGATTTTTCATAATACCTTCTTAGGCCTAAGGCTCAGCCAGCCCTTACTGCTCTGTCTCGACACTTCAAGGGCCACTTAAGACCCACTGCCTGTCATATATTCTAGACAGTTATTCTCATTTACCCCTTGGAACAGCTCTGTAGGGATAGTATGATGAGCTGCATTTCACGGATGATCAGGCTCAGGTTCACAGAGACTAAGTCACCTCCCCAGATAAGTGGTATGAGTGGAATGAGGTTCCACTCCTCACTCTTCCTAGTGGGCTCTGAGCAGCCTCCCTTTTAGAAGATGGACTTCCAGAGCTTGAAAAATGGACAGATCACACTCCCCTGCTATGTGGCCCCACAGGGCCTCCCTCAACAACCCCTCTGGGTGGTGAAGATGACAGAAGAGATGAAATTTCTCCCTTTGTGCCAGGAGACCTGGGAGTAGGGCCTCATAAATTGGATGATCCAAGAAGTAGTGAGGAGGCTCAGACAAAAGGCCAAGTGTTGCCCTTGGGACAGGTAAGCTGGGGGAAAGAAAAGTAATATGTACCCAGCGATGTTAGGCCATTGCTCTTTATATTTTATCTCCCTTATTCCTAACAACTCTTTCCTAACAACTCTTTAAGTTCTCCATCATTATGACCACTATCCAGATAAGGATTCTGACTTTATGAGAGTTTAAGTGAATCAGACAAACAACTTCCTTGTCTCCTGATCAGTTCCTAACACTGTAATTGTTGTAAAGATTTTCCAATTTTGTCTTCATTCTTCCTGGGATCTGAATGGCTTTATTTCCCTGAGGACTGTCAACAAATGTTCCCAGGGTGTCATTCCACTATTTTAAAAAATTAAGTTCCTCATAGTTAAGTCATAATATTGGAATATTTAAGAAAATATTTCAAAAAAAAATACCCCACTAAGGATTGTGTGAAAACCAGAGAGAAAACATCTACAAACGCTCTCATATAATGAGTTAGTATCTATGGTTTGTGAAGCACACTTCACAAACAGAGAAGTTAGGAAGTAATTTCAATATATGATTTATATAAAATATACATGAACAATAAATATATTGAAACATGCCCAAAACACAAGACTAATACAGTGCAAAGATAAATCTTGAGAATTAACATTATGTGGGAAAGAATAGCTGCAACAGAATACGTTTACTGTGATTCCTTTTTAGAAATAGGCAA